AGACAAACTGATTGAGTTAATACTGCAACTGCCACTCCTTGGGTTTTATCAAATACTCTTAGCTGGTGATTTCGACATCCTATCTACAAATCTCAGCAAACGGGGTGCAACTCCCACTGGTCGGTTCCAATGACTACTTGGCTCAGACATTAGAAGCTCTGGGCTGACTGAGCATGTATCCAGTGGACTAAAAAGGGAAAGTCCCCAAACCTGGATTATCTGTTAACAAATGACTAGCTCCTGGTTGAGGATGTTCGCGTGCATACACTAAAAGGAAGTAGTGACCATGTCACAATCTTGTTTAACATGGTCATAAACGAATCGTCAGGCGGGTCGAAAACGAGCTCTATCCTTTGCTGCACTGAGGCAAATGAAGGAGAATTTTCTACATGCCTCGTGGCCATGGCAATGGCGGAGGCTGGTGATTGATGATCACTGGAAAACAGTGAGAGACACCATTCAGAGTGCTGTTCCAAACAACGTACCTCAGTTACACCACACACCCAGAAACAGAAGAAAATGAGTTATTTGGGGCACTGAACACTCACTATAGGCGCGAAATAGAGCCTGGTACAAGTGGAAGATCTCTGTGAAGGGTCATGATCATATTTCTTACTTAGCATTGAGGAACAGATGCAATACCAAAGTTCGAAGTGATAGGAGACGCTTTCAGATGAAGCTAGACGTCCAAATAGAGGCAAACCTTAAGCATCTGTTTAGGTCCATAACAAAAAGAAAACACATGAATTAGGATGTGTTTCCCCCCAAAGGTCCGAGTTGTGAAGATCTCACCAAACTAGAGATGAATGGGATCTTCAACATCAACTTCACCGATCAGTTGAAGTAGATCTCTACATGTTCACAGTACGCGGTCGGTTTTATAACCACTAGAAGCCTCCACACCAGCTAGAACTATACAGGGTACGCAGCCAAAGCAAATACAACTCTCCACTTCATGCGAAGACAACTAGGGGCTAACATGCCTTAATTGTTCTTAACGTTATTTAGGACATACGCTCGCCCACACCTGGAGGTTCACAACGTCTTCGCACCCCCTCCGCTTGAAAGAGACACAAATCTCACGGATCGAGTGCAGAGACGAGCAACAAAATGGGTGATAGGGTTGAAGGACAAACCATACGAAATAGGCTCCACAACTTGGGATTATTCACGGGACATACAGACTCACAACCAACTGCCAACTGACTAAAATTAGACTGTCTAGTGGCTAGGCCCCATTGATTGGACGCTACCAAACACGTGGAACCGTATCGGAAGAACAAAAATCGAGAGCAAAGAAATAATTTGGCTTATACTAGCTCTTGAAAAAGATATATTCATCATGAATTTGCAAGATCTACTTGTAACGCATTCGAAAGCGTACGCTACCAACTTCTATTTCAGATTACCAGTTTGTCTCAATCTCAAGCTCTACTATTTCTGATTGTTATCGATTGTTTTCGCCGTTAAAAGTAAGTGCATTCCACGTGCTTGCTTTTTTGTCGGCTAACATTTTTTCTTGTTCTCTTCCAAATAATCGCGCATACTGCTCCTCACACTCCCCCAGCGCTTAAGCTACTTAGAGGCTAAACGCAAACGTATCAAGAGCTGCCGAGGTTACACACCTACCCTAATGTGTCTCTTAAATTTATTAATAATACATGTATATGATGTCGAACGTCTGTTCTTACAACCATTACACAAATGTGACTGCCTCACGAGATTCTAATTTAAAGTTCGATTCATTTGGGAAAGAGTCTCTGTTTGGTGTTCCAAATTCTTAGAAACATATCTTTCGCACATAATTTACCAATTCCAGGCTAGACAGATACTTAAAATAAATAAGATCGGTGCTTAAATGTACGGGGATTCTCTTGATTTCTGTATGATTTAACTGCTTTCAGTACCTGAGGCTTATTCTTATGTGATTTTCTTAGTTTCGTTTATTGAATAACCTCATGTCTTTTAAGGACGACAATAATAATCATTACCACTAAGCGACTGTTCATATCAGAATATGTTTGGTTTTGGTAAAGTGAATTTAACTCCGTCTGAATATGTATTCATGGAACAATTACATGGTTAAAGTTGATGGACATTGAAATCTCCTTTTCTGCATAATTGATGTATAAAATTTTAAGCACGATAAGCCTTACTGCTATAATATATGTTTACTGCTTGTGGAAAACAGACAAAACGCTACGATAACATGTTAGCTCTTATGATGATGTATAATTTCGAGTTGCCTTGTCTTGTGACTATTTAAAAAATAGACAGGAATATATACTCGAAAAACTATCAATCAAACATGAATTTGTTTCCTTGTCTGTGTTGGTTTGGACTTTTAACGTCGGCTAACAAACGTGTGTGACAAAATTCATGTTTGAGTCCAGCTATCTGGTATATGACAGAGTCTGCTACAACTTTATCTATAACCAAAAGCTGAACTTAGTCGGCAGAAAAATATAGTTTATAAACAATGTATACCATCTACTATCAAAAGCAATGTTTCGAGCTCTGTAAGAAATAGTATCTTGGAATTCACTTACCTTAAGTTTCTTAAACTATTATTACAAATCTTACTCGGACACCACTGGTCGAGTGAGAGCTTATGGCAAACTGTCACCGGAATTCCTTACTTCAAGTGGTGTCTGTCAGTTATGTCCACTCTCTCCATTCTTGTTTAATTTTATCATAGACATGCTCCTAGAAATAACCTTATCCTCGTCTGAATTTTCAGGAGTAGACCTTTTACCTGCTAGCTCGCTTATTGACTTAGAATATGCCGATGACATTGTCCTACTTGGTGAAGACGCTGACAAAATGCAGAGTCTTGTGACTACCCTAAGCAACAATGCAAGCATGTTCGGGACGCGGTTCTCACCCTCGAAATGCAAAATGTTGCTTCAAGAATGGGTTGCATCGGCACCTGAACTAGTGATAGGGAGTGAAGTAGTTGAGCGTGTAGACCGCTTCACTTATCTTGGGAGTCTCATCAGTGCCGATGGCTTGGTGACTGACGAAATCTCTACTCAGATACAGAGGGTTAGATTGGCTTTTGCCAACCTGCGTCACTTAAGGCGTAGGCGAGATATCTGTTTGGTGACTAGAGGACGAGTGTACTGCGCAGTAGTTCGCTCCCTCTTACTTTATGGCTGTGAAACATAGCCAGTGAGAGTAGAAGATATTCGTAGGTTACTTGTTTTCGATCATCGATGTCTCCGAAGCATTGCTCGTATATCCTGGGACACCCGAGTGAGCGACGCTGTTATTAGGAATCAGGTGCTAGGTAAGAATGGCAGATCAATAGATGAAGTAATGAAACTTCATCAGTTGAGGTGGTTGGGACATGTGTTGCGTATGCCTAACCACCGGCTGCCTCGAAGAGCTTTGTTTTGTAGTGTAGGAGTAGGTTGGAAGAAAGCTAGGGCCGGCCAGACCAAAACATGGCAGAAATCCATGAAGTCATTGACAAGTGGACTTAGCCATGTCGGTAATTGTCGACTACGTGGTTGGGGTCCGCGAGATGATAATAATCGATGGTTAGAGACCCTGAATGACATGGCTCAAAACCGTTCGCAATGGCGCCGGTGCATTTATTCTTTGTGTTCTCTCAAATCCTAATCTCTTGGGTTCTTCAACCCCTCTAGTTTTGTCTTTCTAAACTTATCTCACTGAATCATACTTCTTGAATAATATCTTCTAATCCTAACCTCTCCGATTACTCCTAATACCTGTCTTAGTTTAGTCATAAACATTCCTCTTCCAACTTACTATTACGATAGCCAGTCTAGTGTGTACTAAGATAGGTGATAATTAGATATGTGTAAAAGATGCCTGATAAATAAGTAGCTAGAACACCCAACTCTTAACCACTAATTAGGTTTCAAAATTTCAGTATCTACTTGATGTGAAGGGGTAGACAGTTACCAGCCCTCACGCAACAAGCCTAGACAGGTAAATGCTCGTTAAGTGAATTCTTAAACACTTTAATCGGTTAACGTTCACAATCTGATTGACAGATTTACTGTTTGTCTAGTAATTTAAATAAGTACTAATAATCACTGGTTATACCGTAAGTGAAATGTTTCAAAAGTCAGTCAGTCAGTCAGTCAGTCAGATGCAACGTAGAACTTCGTACGTAAGTACATCAGTCCAAGTTGCTATACCACATTAACACACAGAGATGTAATTGTCAATCCAAATTTCATACCAGACCAAAACATGGCAGAAATGCCTGAAGTCACTGACAAGTGAACTGAGTCATGTCAGTAGTTGTCGACTACCTGGTTGGGATCCGCGAGATGATAATAATCGATGGTTAGATACCCTGAATGACATGGCTCAAAACCGTTTGCAATGGCGCCGGTGCATTTACTCTTTGTGTTCTCTCAAATCCTAATCTCTTGGATTCTTCAACCCCTCTAGTTTTGTCTTTCTAAACTTATCTCACTGAATCATACTTCTTGAATAATATCTTCTAATCCTAACCTCTCCGATTACTCCTAATACCTTTACTACCTCTTCTACCATTGGATTTGTATTGACAATTAAATCTGTGTGCTGATGTGGTATGGCAACATGAACTGATGTACTTACGTACGAAGTTCTACGTTGCATCTGACTGACTGACTGACTGACTGACTTTTGAAACATTTCACTTACGGTATAACCAGTGATTATTAGTACTTATTTAAATTACTAGACAAACAGTAAATCTGTCAATCAGATTGTGAACGTTAACCGATTAAAGTGTTTAAGAATTCACTTAACGAGCATTTACCTGTCTAGGCTTGTTGTGTAAGGGCTAGTAACTGTTTACCCCTTCACATCAAGTAGATATTGTAATTTTGAAACCTAATTAGTGGTTAAAAGTTGTGTGTTCTAGCTACTTATTTATCAGGCATCTTTTACACATATCTAATTATCACCTATCTTAGTACACACTAGACTGGCTATCATAATAGTAAGTTGGAAGAGGAATGTTTATGACTAAACTAAGACAGCATCAATCCATAAAGTAGTTAACTATTGGTCTGATCAGTGGAACGACTTAGAACAGTCTCCAACTCTATACTCATCCTTTACTGCACCGCTAATCCGGGAACTCAACATTACTTTTTTCATTGGTTTCATTTGTTTTCTTCAAACCCTACTTCCTACCTCACACTTGAACTGCTAATGACATTTTTATCCCAACTTTCATGTTTTTTACGTCGATAATGTCTTTTCAGTGTACTTTTGTCAAGTTTGGTAAATTTTGTAGCAGTTTAGGTAGGTCCCACATTTTCTGATTGACAGTAAAAAATGATCACTGACGTCAAATCTCCATAATTGTATGTTGCATGTTATTGTCTGACGATGAGATGTATAAGAATGCTAATAAGGCCTTGCTAACTTTTATCTGGTATAACTATGCCAACCTGTTTGTTAAGAGTACTTGATTTCGCTATGTTCATAAACTTCAATCATAAAAGAATTTTACCGCTCAACTTTTAGATGTATAAACTCCTACCCGAAATGTCATATAATTCAATCATACTATACGGTTAGTTTACTTAAGCATATTCAGTGATTGATGTAGTGGAACTATATTTCATGAAGTATCAAACTAAACAATCTGGGTATACTAGTTGAAAGTGATCAAAACAGCGCCATAGCAGTTTATTCAGTATACGAGTCTGTAAATAATTTCACTATTAGTCAGGTCTAGTTTATAAACCAGTTAATATACCGTCGAGTTCCTTGATCCGTAATTACTCTTAAAGGCTAAGAATATATTTCAGGAGTAACTAATAAAACAAATAGGTGGCTATATAAGTGATTCTCACTCCGAGGTGGCTTGGAATGATATCCAAAAAGCCGTGGATTCAGCAGTGATATCTGCTTGTGAGGTAAACCATGAGGCTAGGAAGAAGCCATGGATCTCAGTAGCTTCTGCCAAATTGATATGTGCTCGGAAACTCATCCCACCTGGCTGTCTCGTCAGTGCTGATGGCCTGGTTTGCAACGAAATCTCAGCACGAATACAGAAGGCTCGATTGGCTTTTGCCATCCTGCGTCACTTATGGCGTATGAAAGATATCCATTTGCTAACCGAAGGACGAGTGTAATGCGCAGCAGTTCGCTCCGTCCTACTATGTGGATGAGAAGCATGGCCGGCAAGAGCTGCGGACATCCGTAGGTTACTAGTATTCGATCATAGATGTTTAAGAAGCATTGCTCGTATATCGTGGGACAACCGAGTAAGCAATGCTGTCGTTATGAAACGAGTACTAGGTAAGGATGGCAGATCAGTAAATGATGTAGTGAAACTTCATCATTTGAGATGGTTGGGACGTGTTAGGTATGCCTACACACCGGCTGCCTCGCCGAGCAGTTTTGTTGTGTAGGGGTAGGTTGGAAAAAATTTTGGGGCGGCCGGACCAAAACATGAAGTCACTGAAAAGTGGACTGAGTCATGTCGGTAGATGTAGGCTACCTGGTTAAGGCCCGCTAAACGATAGTAACCGATGGTTAGAAACTTTAGACAACATGGTTTAGAAACGTTTGCAATGGCGCAGATGCATCCACTCTTTGTTTTCTCTGAACTTCTGAATTGCTCATCACCTCTGTCTCTACCTTTCTAAAGTTATTTCACTGAATTATACTCACGAATCATATCTTCGAACCGTGATCTTCACCACAACCGCTAATACTTCCACTATCACTACCACTATGCGGTTTGAACTGACATTTGCGTCTCCGTGCTAATGCGGTATGGCAACCTGAACTGATGCACACACATACGAAATTCACACGTTGTAGCTGACGAATTACTTTTAAAGCTATCGTAACTGTTTTTTGTTTTCGTTGACTGTTGAATACATTCTAGATTGTGTCAGCTTTAAACAATAAACTGTTTCCAATGTTCCATAGCCTCGTTTAGTTGCTATAAATTTAAACAGAATGAATTAAATCGTTTTGGTGACTTTACTGATAGACACTTGTTGGAATGATTGCATCTTTATATCCTATATATCAAATCTAAGTCGCGAAAGATTTTTTTAATAGGAATGTGTCTTAAAGAGGAAACTATATATTTGTTGGTACTTTTTAATCGTTAGTCTTTGACTACCTACCCTTTTTTGATGAGTAAATTTCTTTTCTTTAGGAGTTATTAAGTCTCCCTTCGAATATGATTATACCTATCCATGGACCAAAGTAAAAATCATACAATTATTTTTACTAGTATTATTTTCCAGTGGAGAAGCAAATGAATGGGTGATGATTGAATTACAAGGTGATGTTTTGAGCAAAACGAATAGTCCATTAGCAGGGAGAAATTTGGGTGATTTACATTTTTCCAAACAGGTTGGTCATTCCCTACTGTGTTAATTATAAATTTTATAGACTGGTGATCCAATTCTCCTTATTGGTCATCATGTACTTTTCGGGAAAGTAGTTGCTCTTGAGAAGCCCATGCTTGTTACAAGGAAAAGCACTATATCTGGAAGTATGCAGTATGACGTTGTTTCTGTTATTCGGCGTAAATTATTGTTTAAAACACGACCTAAACCGATCATCTCAAGTGCTTCAAAAAAAGTTTAAGAAAGCTGATATTTAATAAACTGACATATTATCATGTAAAAATATCTATCAAATCATTTACTTCTTATATATTGTGCTCTAGTTGGTTTGGGAACGTTGTCAACCATGTACTTTTTCAGGTTAATTGTTGATCTGATTGTTACTATGTATCAATAATGGTTGGAATAATTATCCAACATAATTGGCCTATTCTGAAGAAAGTTGAACCCTATGGTCACTTAGGAACCTATTGTCTTCATATTCCTTCATTGTATATATTGAATATTTCGGTTTTTGCTGGAATAAAATACATTTTAAACTTTGAAATGTTTCTTTTATCGCTTAGTCAATAGTTAAAAAGGGGAAATATGTATGTCACAGTATCTTTGTATATGGAAATCCTTACCCGCAAATACTCATGTAGTAAATGTCTGAAAAGAGACTTTGGTATCCATAGTAGTCACTTCTATAACAAACAAAAATCCTAAAAGGATTTTACTTGTTTACTATTACACAAGAACAATCTGACAGTTTTGTTTGTTTTGGCTTAAGCGTAAATCCATAGGTTTATACTTCGAAATATTTAATAAACTTATGTTAGAACCATTATCATCAGTAAAACTATCCAACTGCACTATCTAAATTGGCCAGGATATCAGTTGCAAGCACTAACAGAAAAACAGGCGACTTCTAAGGTACATTCTCTTTCGATTGTGCTTCATTAAATGTTGATTTATGATCTGAATATTAAAAAAACATTTTAAGATTGAAGTTGCATTAGGTGTCTATGTATTGGAATTCGTTCTTAAAGTAGTCTAGGGTTTCTACATTGTCCTAGGGTCCATGCTTTGGATATACTGGATACATGGGTAGTCGGTACTCGTATCAAGTACAAAATTGATATATTAAATATTTTTAAAAAAACGGAGATGATTTTGGAAGTTTATGGACTTTTCTCTTAAGTTAACTGCATTTTTCTAGTATATATTCAAAGTAGAGAGGACTTTCTATGGCTCAACATAACTTCTTATTGTTTCCCCCTCATGATGAGGACAAATCTTCGCTTAAATTTAGATTGTGACTTCATAACATTTTAAATAGTCTATAGAGGTCACGCAATTCGTAATTTTTATCGGAATCAATTAAAGCTTTCCTACCGGAGAACACTGGTTCGTATTTTAATGTTGGGCAGTGGCGATTTATTTTTAAAAACTGAGTCACGGTATTCTAAAAATACCAAAAAACCGTCACTGAAGTAATATTGTATTGAATTTGGGTTTGAACGGTTTGAAAATAAGAACGTGACACTGTTAAGCAGAAAGGGTGGATTTACTGTATAACTAGCCTCTGAAGTTGGCGCTCGGAATCCCCTGTAGAAATCAAGTATAATCTCAATATAAAGCTTCGATCGGCCAGTTAAACTTCTTGAGAAGCGAACCTCGTGGTCTATTTGATACTTCATATTTATCTATTTTATACTGAGGCGGTCCGGATCGCCAACCAATCATTTTACTCGATGTTTGTGGTATTGGCTTCGGCGATGGTTTCACTTTAATGTAGTCTGATACAGGTACTGCTTCAGTTACTCTCAGATATTGTGGGATCTCAACAGGTTTCCTGTTTGGATCAATTAGCTCATGAAGTTCATCTTTTAGAAGTTCTCGAGGTGTCAAAGTAAGGAAGCTCCAATTATTGGACCATGCTCTAGATGCGTTCGTCTCCTTGAGAACGTTGTCGCGCCTTGAAAATATTAACTGACCCTATAAACTTACCAAATTTTATCTTTTGCAACATAGTTGTGGAGTGGAACTTCCAGACCGATTTTATCAGCTTTACCTGCCATCTATTCAAATGTCCGGGACTCGGTTGTCAATAGCAACATGCTGTATTTGGAGAGACAACGTCCAATTCCATTTCGGGATATTGAATATGCATATTTCAATAGCCATACCTTTCTCAGTAGCTAGTATAAGCCAGCTGACTTATTTGTGCTCGCTTCTTGATGTTTAAGTACGATTCCAGGTAGTTACTTACTTACTTACTTTCGCCTGTTACCCCAAATGGAGCATAGGCCGCCCACCAGTTTTCGCCAACCAACTCTGTCCTGGGCTTCTTCCTCCAGTTCTGTCCAATGTTTGTTCATTCCTCTCATATCTTTCTCTATTTCACGGCGTAATGTATTCTTTGGCCTTCCTCTTTTCCTTTTGCCTTGAGGGTTCCATGTGAGGGCTTGTCTAGTGACGCAGTTGGGTGCTTTTCGTAGTGTGTGTCCTATCCACTTCCACCGCTTCTTCCTGATTTCCTCCTCCACTGGAATCTGACTTGTTCTCTCCCACAGTTCGTTGTTGCTGATGGTGTCTGGCCATCGAATACGAAGTATTTTACGTAGACAGCTGTTAATAAACACTTGTATCCTCTGGATGATGGCTTTGGTAGTTCTCCATGTTTCCGCTCCATACATTAGAACTGTCTTGACATTTGTATTGAAAATCCTTATTTTGGTGTTGATTGATATCTGTTTGGAGTTCCAGATATTTTTCAACTGTAGAAATGCAGCCCTTGCTTTGCCAATCCGTGCCCTCACATCTGCATCGGATCCACCTTGATTGTCGATGATGCTGCCCAGATATGTAAAGGTGTTAATGTCCTCCAAGGCATCTCCATCAAGAGTGATTTGATTGGTGCATGTTGTGTTGCATCGGAGAATTTTGCTCTTTCCTTTATGTATGTTGAGACCTACTGCTGCAGAGGCTGCTGCTACACTCGTCGTCTTCTCTTGCATTTGTTGTTGAGTGTGCGATAGAAGAGCCAGATCATCTGCAAAGTCCAGATCGTCCAGCTGCGTCCTAACTGTCCAGTTGATACCGTGCTTCCCTCCAGCTGTTGACGTTTTCATAATCCAGTCGATCACCAGGAGAAAGAGAAAGGGTGAGAGTAAGCAACCTTGCCTCACACCGGTCTTCACCTCAAAAGAGTCGGTTAGCTGTCCTCCGTGCACGATTTTGCAGTTGAATCCATCATAAGAGTTCCGTATGATGTTGACTATTTTCTCAGGCACCCCGTAGTGTCGAAGAAGAGTCCACAGTGTTTTCCTGTCCACGCTATCGAATGCTTTCTCGTAGTCGATGAAGTTGATGTAGAGTGGTGAGTTCCATTCAATTGATTGTTCCACAATGATCCGTAATGTAGCAATTTGGTCAGTACACGATCGATCCTTCCGAAATCCGGCCTGTTGATCTCGAAGTTGGGCGTCTACGAAGTCCTTCATTCTGTTTAACAATACCCTGTTGAAGACTTTGCCTGGTATTGAAAGAAGAGTGATGCCTCTGTAGTTCTCACACTTGCTGAGGTCGCCTTTCTTTGGTATTTTGATCAGGTATCCTTCCTTCCAGTCTGATGGTACTTGTTCCTCATCCCAAATCTTCTTGAAGAGGATGTGAAGTATTTTTGAAGTTGCTTCCATGTCTGCTTTGATTGCCTCTGCTGGAATGTTGTCTGGTCCTGCTGCTTTGCCGTTCTTGATTTGTCTGATGGCCATACTGATCTCCTCAATCGTAGGTGCGCCAGGTAGTTGGTGGTGTCTAATGGACGGAACTGTAGTCACTTGACAGTACTGTGGTAAATCGTGTGTTCCATGATTTAGGTGAGTGCGTTTGCCTCAGGACAGTAGGGTTGCTGAATACCAGCAGGTGTCTCATTACCAGGCCGGAGATCAGTTAGTTGTGATGTGGAGAATAGACAACCGTGAATCCTAGAGCTAGTAACAATAGGAGAATTTTACAACTGTGCATATAGTGCCATAAGTTAATTGATTAGAAGTAAATATGATGTGAAGGAATGGAAGTGCAGGAAAAGGATAAGTAATTGCGATAATAAGCGAGACAGAATCATATAATGTCACAAAATTAGGCTTCGAGACGTGCATCAGCAACAGCTGGTCCAAGAGGAAGCTGATAATCCGTAGGTGAATTCGTGCTGTCCAAGTCTCTTCTTAAAACTATCCACTCAGTTTGCTGTGATTACTTCGAATTTTAAAGCATTGTGACTTTGGACAACTCTGAATGAGAAAAAGTGTGCACGTCCTTTTGAAGTTCAGTTGAATAGTCTCTGATTCTTATGGACCTCCACGTCTGTCTTCTGTATGGGTTTGTGCCGCTGAGCTGACCTTATGAAACAAGCCACTGATATGAGGAAGAGTGGCGAGCCTAAGGTAGTTTCGTGTGAAACTCCTGGTGTCGAGACTCGCCAGCTCGCAGGCACTCTACTAACCCTGGTCGGAAACTTCATGTTCTCAAAGTAGTTTTGAGTCACGATAGAAGCCCATCTTGAGAATCCTCACAGTCAGGAGTACGTGAGGTACTGTGTCGATGGCTTCTGCGAAGTCCAGGAATATCAAATGAACCGGTATTGTTTAGTCTCAGCAGGATGTCCAATATTACGAGGAGTTGGATGTTCACGACCTGCTTTCCAAGTAATCACTCATTTGCTCATTCACATGTTCTTTAACCTACTTCCATAGTATTGGTCGTAATGAGACTGGTCTGTAACAAGTTCGGTCTTTTCCATCTCTTCCTCCAAAGACTGAAGTAAGAGAGTAACTTGTTTCCATCCGGTTAGGAGTTGGTGTGACTACATTGGATGCCTGAAAAGGTCACTTTTCGATTAACTGAGGGATTCTCGGCACTGTTTCAAGATTATAGGTTGAATATTGTCACATCGACAGTTAACCCATCCACTTCAGAAGTTACATTCAAGTGGGAAGTGCAATCATTGACTGGCAGCGAGGGAGCGAAGCAATTATCACTTTTGTGTTCCTTCTGGACAATAGGGTAAGTCTTTGCATTTTTAGGACACCTTTTTCCACTATCTTTTTGCCTTCTAATCTTACTACAAATATGAGTCTGTGGGGAGTATCGTCCTAATCTATTTATTGCTGACCCAGTTCTGGTGTCTGGCTTTAATGATCAAAGTTATACACAGTACTTCAACACTCACCACCCAATGTCGTTTCGAATTTTTAA